ACTTCTTAGAAAAAAATTGAAAAAACAATATGATTTATTTTGGGTTAAAATATCAAAAACCATAACACTGATCATGAGTTCAAGATATGTTCATATAAATCAAATCAAAATAAATTATGAAACTCAATTCTCAACCAACTTAATGTTGAATGATGAAATTGAAAAAAAAAATATCAATTAAGAAAAGGATATGAAAACAACTCGAGTCAACTCGGCTTAACTCATTAAGCATTATTTTTAGATATTAAGGCCATAATAACCTAATAAAAAACAAATAAAATAAATCTTAAAGTTTAATTCATAATTAACCTAATATTAAAAAACAAAATTAGAGAAGGGAAGTTAATTACAAAAAAGAAAAACTTGAGTCAACTATGTTAGCTCACTAAATTCGTGATCTATGTCGTGGAAGTGAGATAACCTAATAAAAATAAATCTAATATTATATGATAAAATATAAAAAATGATTGATTGAAAAAAAAATCAAGAAATAAAAAAAATAGTGCTAAATTGATTTTTTTTTTTGTTGAGATGTCACATGATTATAGCTGATTAAATGGTTAGAAACGTAGCTTCTATTTAACCGAAAAAACAAGCAACTCTTCGAGTTAGGTTTGATGCTGTGAATATCAGATTTACAGGGCTATTTCTACAATTTTCATATTTTCTTGGAATTTATAGGTCTTATATATATATATATATTATTAGTCTTTTGAATATTAACTTTCCTGAGTTGGTTTTGCTAATCTGAAAATGAAAATTGTTGCATCTACTTACTTAAGAGCCAAATCCTTTTTGAATTAAAAATTTAAGAAATGGAGAGCATCTCCTCATAAAAATTTAAGAACTTAGGCCGACAACTTACCATAACAGAATCAGCAGAAGTGAGGCCAACCATCTGGCAGAATGCCGGCAGAGGAGCAGTCAAGAAAAATGTAAACTGACTTCCACAATGTGATGTATCAACAGCAGATAGGTTCTTGAATGCTGATTTCAAAGGTGAAAGAAGCAAGACAGCTGTCTCTCCCCTTTCTGCACCATGCAGGACTTGAGAAAATGATCCACAATTCTCAATCATGCAACTTGACAGATAAAAAGCGAAACTCTAAAATGCAAGGCTGAAAAGCAGAGAATCCTAGGTATGATGCACCCCTCAGATAACTGAAAAGAAGTTTTGAATATTTGCCTCATAAATCCCTTGGCAAGTATGCTGGCAAGACAATTTGATCTCGGAAGAAGGGAGTCGGATCTAAATACGAGGCTTTAGGCACCCAGCTGCTTCCTCCCCAATCCATCAAAGATTAATGAATCCCATCAAACTCGCTAGCAAAGGAGGTCAACCATTAAATCAGCTCTAGAACATTGTTTAAGGGATTAAAATTCAATCAGGTGGAGGTGTAGTGAGCGTCAGTTGAACATTTCACCTCAGCTTTTGCATCTACTATGTTCACCAGTCAAACACACCAGGTGTGGATTAGAAGTAACAAAATTTACTGCATAGGTTTTGTAGATCAATTACTCTGGTTCACCTAAAAAAGAATTTCTTATGTAGAAATGTGTGGCAATTTTTAGGTTAACCGTACCACACAATCAAATACTACTTTTTAATCATGTTGAGTCCAATGTGAAAGATGCTCATGGGAAAGCATCCTGCTAGATCTGTATAAAAAAAATCTAGAATTATTGTCCGTTCTTGTGAGAAATAAACCCTACGTAAGTAAATATATTCAGCTAGCAATAATTTTTTTTTTTTTTTTTGTCGCCTTGGTTCATTTTTTCTTACAGACTACAAGGGTTTTAACCAACCAGTCAACTAGCTGGAATCCTGGAACATTTCCATATGATACTTTGCCGGCAACTCTACACTATGTGAAACAAGAACTAACAAAAATCATATCCTATTTATTTTGCCTATTTTTACTCTTTTAGGTTACCATTCTTGTAATAGCATGAACAAATAAAAAATTGAGAATGAGATTTTACATTTCAATGGTTTTGATGCTTTTCTATGTGAGATGCAGCATAAATCTAATTAAGATTTCATTATATAATCCTAAAGGATAACTTATCTAATCAAAATTTGAGTTTGATTTATAATTATTATAAATATGAGTTTTTTTATATGATTATTAATTTTAAAATTTATAAAATTAATTGAGATACATACAAATTAATCAAATACCTAAAAAAAAATTACATATTATATAATCTGGATCATCCACGTCCCAATATACAGGAGGAGACAGTGAGAAGTGGCTCGACCTTAGCAGAGGATAAGAGGGCACCAAAACTTATATGATTAATAAAATATAAATATTTTTTTTATGACATTAAACAATTAAAATTATTAAATAACTAATATTAAGTTCGATTGAAGTTATTTCATGATAATGATTATATTGTTATAATTATAATCATTCAATGATTTAATATAATGCAAATAGTTAATTTATTTTTTAAATATATTTGCATGTTGAATTCATTGAAATAATTTTTTATATGATTTTTATAATTGCTTAAAAAATATGCAAGTTATATATAAATAAAAAAAATGGAGAAGAGGCTTTTAGTAAAAACCGTTGAAAAAATATCTAAAGGATTTGAAATCATTTTGAAATTAAAATTAAATAAAATAAATAAGGGTGTGGGTTAACATTGCTCACCCACACACATTATTCTTTTTTCTTTTTTTTCTTTTTAATATAATCCTAGAAAAATTAGCTTTTATTGGGATTGGGATCGATATTTTGCTTCAATTGAGTTCACAAGGGTTTCTGCTAAAAACAAATATTCAATGTTAAATCAATGCTTGATTTTATGAAATTAAATCAATTTTCTTGATTAAACATAATTAAAAGTCTTAGGATAAAAAATTAACATAAAATAAATAAGACTTTTGTTTTTTAAAAACTAATATAACATAGGCACGTTTTTAGTTTTTTTAGTCCTTAAGTTTTATTTAAAACAAAATTCATCCCTTTCAATGAAGTTATACATTTTCGTCTCATGCTCCATTTCTTTGTATTTAAATTCTTGATCAAAAGAGAGAGAAGAGATGGGGTCATTAAAAAAAGAAGAGAGAAAATATCAGTTGATCTGATTTTAATTATAAAAAATATTAATTTTGGTGTTAAAAAATTTTATTTAATTAAAAAAAATTATTATTTTATATGAGCTCAGAAAGTATTTGAAGTTTAGATTGATTTTAAGTTTTTAAACTAATTTGAAGCCATAAGTGTGTTTAGTTAGGCTATTATAGTGTTTTTTTTCTTAAAAAAAAAAATGGCTGGGTGGGGTATTTTGGGTTCAAAAAGTCAGTGACTTGACTTTTTAGGGCTCCTGAGTTGGTTGATGGTATAACTAGAGGATAAGCGACATCTACCTACCTTTCTAGATGGCGTGTCGGGTTGATTAAAAATAAATAAAAAAACAAGCGAAAAAATAGAGAACTAAGTCCTTGGAAGCCCACACCTCCCTACCCTTGATTTTTGGCCCAGAGTTGTCAATTAGACCCAGATTCTGGAAATTGTTTTTACTAGCTTTGTTGTTGTTGTTAATAAATTTTATTTAAATATAATATATAATTTTTTTTGAAACTTATCCATTAAATATCCTTCGCTTCTCACAGCTTGTTTTATATTATCAGATAACTTTTTTTATATGTCACTATGTGATTTGTTTTCTTCAATTTTAATCTAAATTAATTATATCTAAATAAATAATATTATGTTTGAGATATTTTTTTATTAGTTTATTAGGTATTAATCAATTTAATTTTTATTTTCAAATAATATTCTTGCTGTTTTTTCCAATTTTTATTTTCAAACAATTTCTTACAAGACATAATTTTATTCATTTATAATTAAATAAAACATTCGTTTAACTTATTACGAATTATAATTAGATATTTTAATATGTATTTTTGTTTTATTTTTTCAACTCAATATTTGATTAGCTTCCTAATATATATTTTTTTACATTTATTAATACATGTTATTTTCAATTTATTTTATTAAATTATCTTTGTAGTTTGCAATTAAAATTTTTTTAATGATGTGAAACAAGTTGTCAATGCTTATATTATTTTAGCGTTGAGAAGGGATATTTATCAAAAAATATATTGATATTAAAATAATTTTTAAAAAATAAAAATATATAATTTTAATATATTTTTTATTAAAAAACATTTTAAATAACAATAACTACCACACTATTAAAAACCCTTTAAACCTATAGCTAACATTCATGGAAGAGAAGCATATGCCCACCCAACTCTCCACTCAAATTCACATATTTATTTTATTTGTTTACAGTCAATAGCATTTCTCCATCAATTTTTATATATAAAGATAAAAATTACTACTTTTTTAGGGTTTGCAGAAGAAGATTCACAGCAAATTTATTAAAGTAAACCTATCCTGTTGACCAACATCTTTTTTTTCTTTTTTTCTTTTTTTCTTTTTTCTATTCATTCATGCTTCACCAAACTAGTCTCTTTTCCCACCCAATCAATCAACGAATCACAACCGTGTGTTGTGGACCCATAAACAAAGAACGGCCGAGATGGTTTAATGATGTTCCAGATTGGAAACCCATTCAAGGCCGCGCCCGTAACCAACCCCCAGCCCTCACCTACCCCGTTTAAGACAGCGGACAAGGTTACTGTAGTTTTTAAAATTATATTTAAATAATATTTTTTATTTTTATAAAATTATTTTTAACATAACAAATTTAAAATTATAAAAAAACTAATTAAAAAAATACAAAATAAAATAAAACGAGCAAGGAGGTGTTTAAACATGACTCTGTTTGGTTTTGTATCTGAAAATTTCTGAAATTTTAGAAGTTTTTAATTTATTTTAAGTTAATTTTTTAATATTTTTATATAATTTTAATATATTAATATTATAAATATTACTTCGAATACATTTTCAAAAACAAAAATATTTTGAAAAAACACCAGCCGGCATGCTACTAAACGGGCCTCTATAAAGAGAATCATTCAGTATCCTCACTACTAAAGAGAATCATTCACTCATGGCGGCTACTTCAACTTCAAGCAGTTATCGTCTTGGTTTCCGACTCCACCAACAACTCGCACCCTGTTCAGGTTCTCACCCTCAAACCTCCGGAGCCGTGTCCTTTCTTTCAGGCTCTCACAATTTCTCCTTCAAGTAAATTTCTTTCACTTTCCAATCAATCCTGCAACTATTTATCATTGTATTACTAATGGGTTTTCTCAAGATTTTCAACCTGAATGTTAACGATAATTGTGTTTTAGCAACTTTCTGAAGAAGGTTTTGTTTTGTTTTCGTCATTGGCTGTTAATGATTATTAATAAAGCTAGCTTCTTTCTACAAGGCAATGTGTACTGTTCTGATATGAAATTTCAAAGCCTGCCATTTTTGTTTCTCTGTTTGTGTGTTTCTTATGTTGGCAATGGTATACCACAATTGTTTTGCGACCACTACTAATGTATTATACTTGATAGATCGCTGGAGACTACTAGACGATCACGGTTGTCTGGAATAAGTGTAGTTGTGAAGGCAGAAAGAAGGTCTGAAGAGATGCAACTCGATATTTCTTTGAGTCCAAGGGTGAATGCTGTAAAACCTTCAAAGACAGTGGCCATAACAGACCAGGCTACTGCGCTTGTGCAAGCTGGGGTTCCTGTTATTCGTTTGGCTGCTGGAGAGCCTGATTTTGATACACCGGTTGTAATAGCAGAGGTGATTCTTTTTCTTTTCTTTTTTCCTTTTCCAGTTGGAGTTAAGTGCATATCTTTTCTATGCCTTAAAGTGTATGCCTGTGCTTAAACCGATGTTAATAGTTTGATTTTGTTTTTTGGCTGTGAAAAAGCTAGGCTGGAATAAATGCAATTCGCGAAGGTTTCACGAGGTATACTCCAAATGCTGGTACACAAGAGCTTCGAGTTGCAATTTGTCATAAGCTGAAGGGTAAATATAAATATATTTGCAGCAATTTTGTGTTTGCAACCTAGTTGATATGCTTGGGGCATTTCCAGCATGGAATTTATTACAGTTTTTTTAATAAATCATCTCTTAATTTTTGGCAGAGGAGAACGGTATCTCTTACACACCTGACCAAATTTTAGTTAGCAATGGTGCCAAGCAGAGTATATACCAAGCAATGCTTGCAGTTTGCTCTCCTGGCGATGAGGTGAAGTTTTTTATGTCAAAATAATTAGGATTATGGTGCTATCTGCATTTCTGCTGCCAACTAAATGGCACCAGAATTGTTGCCTTCCTACATTTGAGTGTTGGCTTTGTGTAGCATTTAGGACCTGTTTTTGTAACTCTGGATTAAAGTAATGGTTAATTGAATATAGTGCTATGGTTCTCTGCATTTTATATGATTCAGGAAAAAAAACCATCCAGCCAAAGCTAGAGTGCGTATGCAGTGTAAATTCATAGCTAAAAAACACAGATGATAGAAAGCAAGGGAAGAGATTTTGATGTGTAGAAAGAAATAGCTATGCTTTTATATTCTGCAGAATTGTATATATTTTCATTCAGGCAATCAAAGTCGTGTTCTTAATGGAATACAGTAGGAGATCATTATCATTGAAGTTGTCTAATCTTTGAAGGTAGCTCGTGTTCATAAAAAATACCTTACCCTCAGGTTATTATTCCTGCACCATTTTGGGTGAGTTACCCAGAAATGGCGAGGCTGGCTGATGCAACCCCAGTGATTCTTCCAACATCAATCTCTGAGAATTTTCTCTTGGACCCAAAGCAACTTGAATCAAAACTGAATGAAAAGTCAAGGCTGCTGATTCTTTGCTCTCCATCTAACCCAACAGGATCAGTTTATTCCAAGAAATTGCTTGAAGAGATTGCACAGATTGTAGCGAAACATCCTAGGCTTTTGGTATGATTAATCAAACCCTAATTTCAAGTTCTATGGTTTCCTGATATTTAAATGCTGAATTTCTTTGGTATTGCACTCAGGTCTTGTCTGATGAGATATACGAACACATAATATATGCACCTGCTACTCACACAAGCTTTGCATCTTTGCCCGGCATGTGGGAAAGGACTTTGACAGTGAACGGATTTTCTAAGGTAACTTTAACTTACATTTGATTATCAGTCTTAGATATCTACTATCTCAATAATATGATATTTCGTGTATAATTTTGATATGGCTGTGATTTTGAATAAAACCCAAAGCAGTTTGTCTCATTGAATAGATTAACATTTAGAAAGCGGGAAATTTGCAGGCCTTTGCAATGACTGGTTGGAGACTGGGGTATATTGCTGGTCCCAAGCACTTTGTGGCAGCGTGTAATAAGATACAGAGTCAGGTATTGTATCACACCACTTTCCAGGATGAATTGAGTCCATCATGCATGTTCTGAAGTTTTCTTTTATCTAAAGCGTCACTGGCTATTCTTGCGAACAGTTTTCCAGTAGTTTACCTGTTTGCAAATCATGTATGAAGTGGTTAGATTTCAAAATTTCTTTTGTTCGCATAGATCTTTTTTACCTTCCAAAGATTATGGTGGATCAAATAGGCTTTTATTGTCAATTGAACAGAGGTGATTTGCTGCGAGGGTGGAAGGAGCCATTCTGAGCTTCATTGCAGATAGTTAGGAGAGAAAGGGTTAAGGTGAAGTTGCGGGTTCTAAAGAATCAGATGCATGGCTAGTCTAGAGAGACACAGCTTTCAAAATTGATTGTGTGATGAAAGCATACAAGACACAAGATGATACTTGGATCTGGTTACCAAACCATATAGTCAAGAGTGTACTTTATATTATGCCATCTTATATCTCCAAAAGCACTAAATCATTATTCCTATGACCTCTACTCACAATCAGCATTACGCATGAAGCACTCATCAACACATAATGAATTGGATATGCACTAATCACCTGAATGCTTAACCTGAGAAAGACCCGTAAGGAGATAAGAATCTGGAATTTCACACTTGCTTACACAGGCCAGTTTGGCCTGGTAAATTAGGGGCTTTGCGCATGGGGCTGCAATTGCAATTTTTTATGATTCTTTGCTTTTCAGTAAGAATGTTCATGCCTTGCATTGTTGATTTGCAATGCATTGATTTACCTGTTCCAGTAATGCTTGTGATCTCAACCATGACTTTGTTGAAGCCCCAATTGATCTGAGTGCTCTATTTTCCCAGTTTACATCAGGTGCCAGCAGTATATCTCAAAAGGCAGGCGTTGCTGCGCTAGGACTCGGCTATGCTGGTGGGGAAGCAGTGTCTACCATGGTGAAAGCATTCATGGAGCGGAGAGATTTCTTGATTAGAAGCTTTGGAGAAATGGAAGGTGTTAGGATGTCAGAACCTCAGGTACTGGCTTTTGGTTATTTAGACGTATAACCTCCCATCTCCCTCGCTTCTAATTCTAATTGGTTTTACTTGCAGGGAGCATTTTATCTTTTCATTGATGTCAGCTCGTACTATGGAACAGAGGCAGAAGGTTTTGGTAAAATCGAGGACTCTGACTCCCTTTGCCGTTACCTGTTGGATCAAGCCCAGGTACGCATTGTTACAGCCTTACAGGATACTGTTCTGTTTACTTTTGATTGACAATGTTTCTCTATCTGTCTCACCAACAATGTCCAAGTTGAAAATTACTCAGCAACACTTTGATGTTGTTGAAACTACGTTCAAGTAACATGGCATGCAGCATTTATTATACTGCTAAAGATCTTTATAACTTGATAATGGTTGCTTATATACAGGTTGCGCTAGTGCCAGGGGTTGCATTTGCAGATGACAGCTGCATACGTATCTCATATGCAGCATCTCTGACCACCCTACAGGAGGCTGTAGAGAGAATCAAGAAGGCTCTACTCCCACTCAAGTCTGCTGTCCCTGTTTAATGTAGAAGAATGTTAAATTGCAATTGTACTCTTTTAGGGTTTAAAATTGTGTACTACTTCATTGATTGTTACAAATAAAACGTTTTTCTTTGCAATGATCATTGATTTTTGCACTAGCCGTATTAAGTGGAGATGTGAAACAATTCCAATGTTATGCACAGTATTTTCTGCCCTCAATTCATATTGTTGCATCTGCAACTGTTTTACATTTGGCTCTTATTAAGTGAGATTGTTTTTCATTTTTTGGCAAGTTCCCATTCATTCAATAGAAAACTAGCCACCATTTAACTCGCACGAGTTATAAATTTATTTTTCTAAAAAATATCGGGTATATGATTTGTAAATAAAAAATTCAACACAAGTATCCAATTAAATAAATTGATAACAATTTATATAAAAAAAACATAAAAAATCATTAATAATAATCAAAAGAGAAATTAAAAAAAAATAAAAAATGAATAGATTAAGATATTCAAAATTATATTTATTGAACTTGTTTATTTAACTCAATATAAAATAAATCAATACCCTAAAAAACTCATGACCTAAAAAATACAAATGAAGCAGATTGAATAAACTCATATATTAAAAAAAATTGCACCGACAACAAATCAATAATATTATTTTAAAATGCAAATAATATTTTGAGAAATAAAGTTCATTTGTAATTGAATGAGTGAATTGTAAAATAAAAAAACTTTTATAAAAAGAATAAGAACAAAAAAAATAAATAAAAAGAATGAAGATTGAAATTGACAAGTAAAAAATAAAAAGGATAATGATGTATTTTAGTTATTAGAAAAGAGAAAAGGAGGGAAGAAAAACAAAAATGACATCCGATAACAATTCGATCACTTTATTCAGCTACACACCATTTCAAGTGAAAGAGGATAATGTTACACATACAGGGAGATGATGAAAGTGCACCTTTGGCTAGTAAATGGCATCGCACACATCGTCTAAATGACATAGACGCTATCTATAATTTTTTAATTTAAATATTTAAAAGTCAATGTGAAAAATATCAAAACGCCTCAATGATCCTATTAATTATACAAAATACCCATATAAAAATATAAAAATACCTCTAAATGTAAAGCTTTTTTTTTTTTGTCTCATCCAAGACTAAATTTATATTTACTTTGGATATGGACAATAAAAAACTCAGGCCATTAATTTTTTGATTTTAGAAATAAATAAATATTTTAATTGTTAAGAAGTTTGTTAAAAGTAAAGAAAGTTTTTATCAATAATTTTAAATTTTGTTGACTCTAAAAGAAAAGAGTATTTTTATCATACAACAAAAAATACAAATATCCTCAAGAAAAGCTTTATACAAAAAAACATGAAGAGACATAAAAGTATGAAGAGTAAAATAATAATTTCCTGCACACGGTAGCGGATTTATAAAATAAATATACTTGATGATGTTATAATTATGAATTAATGTTAAAAAAATCAATAAATATAATTTTAAAAAAATTATAATAAAAAAAAAAAAATCATATAGAAAAACATTATAGCAATCCACAGTGTTTTATTAAGAAAGCTATAGTACTTACTCCATATAATTAAGTCTTACATATAATTATAATTTTTAACTAGTTCAATATTAAAAAAATAAAATTGATAAAGAAAATAAAAAAAAAACATTAAAAAAAATCCTGTGGGGAAAACACTATAGTAATATAAAAGAAAAAAATTGTAAAAAAAAACCAAAAACCAAAAATAAAAAATAAAATCAACAACTAATTTTAAAAATATCATAACAAAAAAAAACTATATAGAAAAAAACTATAGTAATTTATAATATTTTAAAAAAAAATTATAAAGTTAAATTTTTAATCAGTTTAATATTAAAAAAATAAAATAAATAAATTTAAAGACTTGTGTATGTGCCCTTTCATACGGGAAAGCCCAGCAAACAAGAAACTAAAAAGAAAAGGTTGGACTCAGGCTGAAAGGAAGCCTTCTTGTCGGCTTGGCCCAATATTTGGCAGGGAGGAATAAGGGCATCGTTATTATGTTAGGCTATAGGCTTTAGCTAGAGGTCTTTACTAAGACAAAGAAAAAGAGGACTTCTACGTTGTTTTACATTACTGCTATCCTCCAGTTGTCTTCCTTCTTTAGGTCAGAAGATTCGAAACATAAGCGAACAGGGAATCGGTTCCTTTCTAGGAAGGAGACTTTGCTTCCAATGTTTCCACACGTTCAATTTGCATGTCCTTGTGGGTGAAGAAAGTTCAGACTTTTTACACAGGTCTCGTCTAAAGGTCTCAGAGAAAGCTATTCTTGTCCTTCTTTACGGCAAGATATATCTGTCTGAAGGGAAATGATTTCCTCAAAACATCACCAAGGACACAAAGACGCCTCCATGCAAGGCCTAATCAAGCACCTGACTTGAACTGCAAGACAATCAATCTAAAATGTGAAGAATTCTTTCTTCATAACATGCCTTTGGGCTTTCTTTTATTACTAGCCCACAATTTGTAACACAGTGAAGACAACAGGAATTAGCCAAAAAAACTTGAAATTGAAACCAGTTACCAATACTAAAAACCAGACATGGAGTCGTCTAGTCCTTATCCCGTAGGCTCACCAGAGATTGTGGTCTTCGACTTGGAAACAACGGTGCCTAATAGAGCTGGACAGCGGTTCTGGGTACTGGAGTTTGGTGCAATAACAGTTTGTCCACGTAAACTTGATGAGCTAGATAGCTATAGTACCCTCATAAGACCTAAGGACTTGTCTGCTGATGCATTGAAGTCTAGTCGATGTGATGGCATAACTCGGGGAGCTGTTTCAAATGCACCTGCATTCGAGGAAGTTGCTGATAAAATTTTTAGTATTTTGAATGGTAGAATTTGGGCAGGACATAACATCCAAAGATTTGACTGTGTCCGGATTAAGGAGGCATTTGCAGAGATTGGTAAGCCGGCGCCAGTTCCTGCTGGAATGATTGACTCTTTAGGAGTCCTGACTGAAAGATTCGGCAGAAGAGCCGGTAACATGAAGGTATGCATCTATGCATCAAATCAGAACCATTTTCCCTTCATATATAACATGCATTAAACAGTAAATTTTTGGTGCAATCACATGATCTGCACCTATAAGCACGGCAGCTTAGTGACTTCATTTACAAAATTTCATGATGTTTTCTGTATCCTGATACGGTTCTATTATGTTTAGATGGCAACTTTAGCTGCTTATTTTGGGCTTGGCAAGCAAAAACACAGGTATAAATTCTGGTTTAAACCAGACCCGTGCGTGCTTGATATTTTTCTCTGGTATTATATGAAACCTATAATCATGGTTTTACAACTGCACTAAACAGGAGTCTCGATGACGCTCGTATGAACTTAGAGGTCTTGAAGCATTGCGCTACGGTTTTATTCCTGGTAATCTCTAACATCTTCATCATAATCCCATCCGATTTTATCACACATTTCATCATTATTTACGTAAGGTACATGATTGTTTTTTGAAATCATAATTAATTAACATTTCGGAGTCCTCAATGGATTAAGGAATCATGCCTTCCAAGCGTTTCGAATGCCAAATGGTGCAGCCCTTCAACAATAGTAACTCGAAGCAGAAGTAATGGAAAACTGCCGTGTAGGGAAGAAAATAGCCGAAAATCACCTCCTACTACTCTTGGATACCAAAGAACGGTTCCCTATACACGAGGAAGTCCGGGAAAGGTTTAAGTTGTTCATTGCTTGTAATGTTCAATATTGTCCAATCTATAATGTCAAATACAAGCTACTAATAGCAATGAATTGCATGAACAACAGATGACAGTAGGAGTGAAGGATTTGGTGTGTAAGGCCCAAGAGACCAAATCTTTTAACAACTTACTCAAGCATTCTCGTTCTCTGCTGAGATGAGCAAAGAAACAAGGCTCCTTCCGCTCATTTTGCATCGCCTTCTTTGTGTTGATAAAGATGGATGCATCAAGAGAGGACAAGATGTTAGCTTACCAACATGTAACATATTTGGTTCATCTTGTTTTTCACAGATAGCTTGAAATTGGGTGTGTAAATTATGCCAAGATGCTTAATGGCTTTAAGATTCAGATTGGAAGAGCATTAATTTAATCTTTGTAACTAAGATTATTTGTTCATCCTTCAATTAATTGATTTATTTATTTTTTAAAAGATTTGTCTATTTTTCAGGCGATACAGTTAATTGTGTCTAGGATACAAACAGGAACATAGAAATGGGAGTGTCGTGGCTACAAGAATATCCAAAAGTGTCCAAAACAACGTATAGTAGATAATTATTTGAAATTGTATAGATTTTTTTATGGTTAAGTTGTTATAAATTTAAATTTTATTTTTTTATTTAATAAAAATTAAATATAAAATAATACGAGTTTATACAAATTTTATGCTGAAATGTATATATTAAAAAACAATTTAAATTATAATTTAAATTTTATTTAAAAATTTAAATTATTAAATTAGATGAAAACTGCACTTCGATTATAATATAAAAGGACTCGTTCTTTCCCTCATGTTTTTTGAGTGGATACTGGATGGACCTTTCCGACACAACCAAAGTGGAAAATAAATGTTATCATTACCTTCAGATCCTGAGATGCAATGAATCTAGACAATTCTGGGTGAAATAGCAATTTTTTGTAATAGTTGTCAGTTACGGCATCATATGTATAACATAAAAGAGAAAGAAAATAATGGTGAAAAAAAATATTTAATAGAAGAGTTTTATATATATATATATAATTTTTGAGTGAATTTTTGTATGAGGTATTATCTCTGTAGATAATATGTATTATTTTTAATCTATAAAATATTAATGTAAAATATTTTTAATTTCAAAATTATATAACGAATGCATATAAAAAAAAATTATTATAATTTTAAAATTTAACTCGGTTACAAATTAAAAAGATAAACTTATTTTTTAAAAAAATTAAAATAATATTGTTTTAATAAAAAAAATTTAACTTGGTTTTTACTAAGTTTTATTTTGAATTATCTATGAAGTCAATTATTTCTTTAGTTTTTTCTTAAATTGAGACCGATCCATACCTTAAAATAACTAAATATTAAGTTAGTTGGTCAGATTAATTTAGATTTTTTAACTAAAATCATCATACTATTATTAATTTCATATTTTATAAAAACTAAAGTAATTATAATTAAATAATATATAAAAATAATTATTTTATTTGTTATATTATTATCAAACATAATTTTATTTTATTTTTTATTTTTTTTTCATTATCAAACATAATTTTATTTTTATTTTTTATTTTTATTATCTTTATTTTTTTATCCCGTAATATTAACCATCGTTACTTTAAAAGCTTGAGAAGCAAAAATAATTAAATCATATCGAAACGTGCAACGGACTCTGATAAAAGTTAGTGGGAATCAGAGAAGGGATGTTATTGGCTGCAAAAGAAAAAAGTTTCAATGCATATAATTATTATTACTAGCATCAACTAATCACCACTTAAATTTTAAGATTCAATGAATGTGAACAATTTTGGAAAAAAGCAACGTGTTTATTTCAATTAACACGCAGAGTTGACATAATTAGTTAATAATTAATTATCAATGCTTTTAGCTTCACTGAAAAAAAGAAGAAAGAAGATGTGTGCCTTTAGCTTTCTAAATTTATAAACTTTATGGAAATGTATAGCATTTAATTGCTATTCTAAAACAAAAGGAAAAAAAATAAAGAAAAAAATATATTCAAAAATAAAAAATATATATATTCAATTGAAGAAACATAAACATAAAAATAAATGTATTTCTTGAATAATTTAGAGTGAATTTTGTCAAAACAAGATGATGTATATAAAAATCATGTTTTGAAATACGACATCTTTTTTTTCTTTTTAAAATATCATTATAAATAACTTTTAATTTCAAAATTGTCCAATTAAAACATATAAAGAGAAAATTAATTATTATCATAATTTTAAAATTCAATTCAGGAATTGATTCGGGATAAGACCAAAGTCATAGATCAAGAGAATCAATAAAGATTGATTCTAGTCAATGTAAAAATAAAAATGGTTATTATTATAGTTTTAAGACACAACTTGAAAGTCTACCCAGGATAAGACTTGAGTCACAAGTTGAGTTACGGTTGACTTGGGTATCTGACTTGTGACTTAATTTAATGTAAGTTTTAAAACTCAACTCGAAGGTGAACTCAGACTAAAGTTCTAGTTAGAGGTTGAGAGGGTCAAATTGAATTGATACGGTTCAATGTAAGTTGTTATTATTATAGTTTTTAAACTTAACTAAAGGATAGATTTAAAGTAAGGCCTGAGTTATGGATCGAGAAAATTAATCCGAGTTGATAAAAAATTTCAAGAACCAAAGCAATCTTGGCTTTTGACTTAGGTTTTTGGCATCATTCATTTATTTTTTAAACCTGAACTAGTCTAGCATCAGGTCGATCTGTCAGACCGATCTATGTTTTATAATTAGATTTATTATAATATTATTAATTTAACACTCAATATAAACTAAAATAAAAAAATATTTAATTATATTTTAAAAAATATATAAATTTAATAGTAATATATATTAAAGTAAAATAAGTGTGTTCATAATTTATCATGTCTTGTTTATAATAATCAAATATGATACAAAGATAATAGTATTGTCTTGCAAATTATTACCAAATATATTAAATGCTAAAAGATATTCTCCTTCAATCTTAAGCATTTATTATAAAAAAAAACTAAAAAAAATCTATAGAATAAATAATATAAAAAGGAAAAAAAAAGAAAAAGGAAAGAGCACTCAAACTTAGCTAAGATTGTTTGGACTTAACAGTTAGGTAATTAAGAACAAATTATGTATAAAATAATTAAAATATCATAGTTTTTTTTTGTGTGTTTTTTACAATTGCAGCAAGATTTAAATACTATCAAAACACTAAATAAAATAAATACTTTCTCTTTAAAATAACTAAATCATAGCAACATCACTTAAATAAACTCATTCTTGATTTGGAAGAAACTTATTCTTAATTTAAAGTCGTTATTGCCCTTAATTATAAAAGTGACCAATTAAAAATTACCATTCTTTTTTTTTCTCTTTAAATACACATCAATAATGAGTAGTAGTTTTATATAATGTTTAGCGTGACAAACTTCTACTTGCTATTCATTCCTTCACAAAACTTTGTCTCGTACAATAAGTTGTATATTACAGCTTTATATTATCAACATGCATAACCAATATTTAATCTATATAAAAATTTATTTTCATACTTTAATCAAGTAAGTAATAAAAAGAATCATTATAATTTAAATCAAAAAATCCTTTTTCTAAAAAAAAACTACAATAATGTAATATAATTTTAATATGTAATTACTAGCTCGTTATCGTTATTTTTTTCACCTCATCAACTTCATCATCACAATAAACATTATATTTGAACATGCCAATCTATATTTATCTCTAGAGTGGTAAACTTAACCAATCCATAACTTCTTTTTTCTCAGCAAATAGGATTTGTTGCTCTCTAACTCTCTTCTATCACTGGTGTAGTGTTGTTTCCCCCTTTCCACCTTACACCATGTGCATTTCTTATGCCATATTAATTCATTAACTTATTATATGTGCGAGAGAGAGAGAGAGAGAGAGAGATGTCATTGAGCATTACTGTTTTGTATAAATCATTATAATAATAAATGTTTTTCTTTTAATTTTTAAATGGATGCCAATCATTTTCCTTAGAGAAGATTCTGTTTTTAATAAGTCATGAGAATTTTATAAATAATAAAAGCGAGTAAAACCCATTAAGCACCACACCAAATAAAGGCTAAAACAAAATAATAAATAGTGGGAAGCCCGCCACTACACTACACTCCACTCCAAACAGCTCCAAAATAAAATAAAATAAAAACAATAAACTACAGCCATGATCCCCCAGGACATCAGCATGTTAAATAAACAATAAAACTCAAACTCGTGTCGTAGGAAAACGCATTAATTAATTAATTACTAATAAAATTCCTGTCCGCACTAATTTGATGAACATTGAACAAATGATTTCATTGAAGCACAATCGACCACACACCACTTACGCCAAGAATCCGAATTAATTGTAATGGTGGGACAAATAGAAAAAATACCAGCCATTAATCACAAGAATCAAAAACTTCTGCCTGCCGGATTTTATGCCATCAGAAGCATCATTTCGTTTTTATATGTGTTATCTCTACGGCTGGTGGATCAAGCCGGCCTGGAGCTGTCCGATACCGGTCCTCAAGCACGTATAATATTCAGGAAGACCAGTCCTTACTTTTCCTTAACGAAGCTGGCAATTGCGAATCACGGATAATCAAGAAAGGAGGAGCCTTAAGAGCCACAGGATCAATTGATCAATATCACAGAACATATCTTAGAATTACTTCTGTGCATGGCTTAGTTGAGATTATATTTATCCTCACAAAGATTTCATCATCACTGCAACTCAACAGAAGAAGCTCGAATCAAGCTACCTTTCTTCCTTCCTCTTTTGTTCACTCTCAGATTAATAAAAGAAAAAAAAAAGAGAAATGTTTAAGTGGTCTAGAGTGTAGCTGACTTTGCTCCATCCCTGAAAGTGAAATCCATCTACATTACGATTGATGCCAGGCACAAATACTGTATCCCTTGACTGTTTTTCCCACACGCAGTGTCATGATATGTGACATTAGTTAATATTGTGGTAGGGTATATGTTATGGCAATGAGAGTGACTCCAATTTTTCTTGAGAAATCTCTTTTTGTGAGTATGATCAAGGCATGAAATCCACTCCTCAGTTTCAATGCAATATTGTCCACAAAGGTTGGATACACACACACACACACACACACACACACACACACACACACACACACACACACACACACACACACACACACACACACACACACACACACACACACACACACACACACACACACACACACACACACACACACACACACACACACACACACACACACACACACACACACACACACACAC